ATTAACTGAGAGCCTTATGGGGTTTTTCTTGCATGTAACTGTTTTCTCTTGCTGCTTTAAAAATTCTTTCTTTTTTTAAGATTTTAATTATTTATTTGACAGAGAGAGCCCAAGCAGCAGGGAATGGCAGAGGCAGAGGGAGAAGCAGGCCCCCTGCTGTGTAGGGAGCCTGATGTGGGGCTCAATCCCAGGACCCCGGGATCGTGACCTGAGCTGAAGGCAGCTACTTAGCCGACTGAACCCCCTTGGCACCCCCAAAAATTCTTTCTTTATTACTACTTTTTTTGCCATTTTAATTGCTATGTGTCTTGGTGTGGGCCTCCTTAGGTTGATTTTGTTGGGGGCTCTCTATGACTATTGGATCTGGATTTCTGTTTTCTTCCCTAGATTCAAGACGTTTTCAGTTATTATTCCTTCAGATAAAATTCTGCCCCCTTTTCTCTCTCTTCTCCTTCTGGGATCTCTATAATGCAACTGTTACTATGCTTAATGGTGTCACTGAGTTCCCTTAATCTAGTCTAACTTTTTATTAATCTTTTTTCCTTCTCTTGTTCAGCATGATTGCTTTCTATTACTCTGCTCTCCAGGTCACTTATCCATTCTTCTCCTTCCTCTTGTCTACTATTTATTCCTGCTAGTATATTTTTATTTCAGTTATTGAGATCTTCATCACTTATTGGCTCTTCTTTACATTTTCTGTCTCTTTGTTGAGGGTATCACTGAGGTCCTCCACTCTTCTCAAGTTCAGTGAGTATCTTTATGACCATAACTTTGAATTCTTTAGTAGGCATATTGCTTATCTCTATTTTGTTTATCTCTCTTGCTGTGATTTTGTCCTGTCCTTTCGTTCAGAATATTCTTCTATCTCTTCATTCTGTCTAACTCTCTGTTGCTATGTGTTCGCAAAGTCAGCTATGTCTCCTGTTCTTGAAAGTAGTGGCTTTATAAAGAAGAGGTCTTATAGTGCCCTGTAGTGCAATGTCCCCTGCTCACCAGAACCTGTAGCTTCCTATGTGTGTTGTGTGTGCCCTACTGTTTTGGCTGAGCTGCATTTGCCTTCAATCCAGTCATCTGCAATGGCTCTCTTTGCCTGTACTGGTCCAGGGTTTGGTTCCTGTGTTATTAATGGACCAGTCTTAGGCCACCTTGGGCATGAGTTCGGCCAGACCAGGCCTTTGACAGACCTGTGGTCCCATCAAAGTACAGGGCACTCCCCTTGTGCTGTCCCCTAAGAAGCTTTTGTTGGTGGGTGGGGCCTGAGATCAGACCAGATGTCTGCCCCCGGCCCACTGCTGGGACTGCAATCAAACTGGTGTGTTTATTTTCCCCTCTTCCCAGGGTAGGGGGAGCTTTGTGGTGGTACTAGCAGTTTGCATACTGTCAGGGCAGTTTGCACACTGCCACACTTGTGGAACCACTGAGGATGGACTCCTGCAGAGGGCAGGTTGGAGAGAGTGGTCTGCCGAAGAGCGTGGGGGCAGGATACGTGGTATTAGAAAGTTTTGCACAAGTCTGCTGTGGGAGGAGACCTGGTGCTGCTTTGGAGAGCTGCAGAGGCTAAGTTGGATGGAGCGAGTCTATAGAAGAGCATGGAGGCAGGACATGTTGTTAGCAAACTAGGTGGAGAGTATTCATGCTGCACTGTTTCCCGCAGGTGTCTGTGTAACTAGACTGGGTGGTGGAGGAGGGAAATGGCACCTACCAGCTCTTTTGTTCTTGGAAAAGTCTCCCAAAGATCCCTGCCCCTTCTGCACATGCTGTTTGGTTAGTAAATAAATCTCCTTCCCATATACTGCAGGCATTTTTCAAACTACTGCTTCTATGCTATATCTCAGCAAGACTGTTTGTTATGCTGTCTCTTTAAAGGCAGGGACTCAGTTTCCTATCACCCTCTAGCTCTCCCAGAGCCAACCAGCTGTGTGTTAAGCCCTGCTGACTGTAAAAACTCATGATGTTAAGCCCCTCTGGTTTTTAAAGCCAAATATTATGGGGATTTGTCTTCCCTGAGTGGGTTCTCCTTGCCTACAGTGCCTGGTGTGGGGTCTGTTCCTCTCCATTCTCTGTGCTTGCAGAGTCACTCCCTCCTGAGGACAGTCCCATGGGTCAGCTTAGTTCTGAACCGAGTCCCTGCCCTTCCTATCATTTTTGATGTGGCCTCATCTTTATGTTCAGTTGTGGAGAGTCAGTTCTGCCAGTCTTCAGGTCATTTTCTGGGTTATTTACACTGATGTGGGTATTATGTAGGTGTATCCATAGAATGAGGTGAATATAGGATCCTCCTACTCCCAGAAGTCCCCAAAATAGTTTTAAAACTATGTAGCAACAACAAAAAAAATGTTCACATAAAAATCAGCTATAAACTATTACTATTTTTATGTTTTCTATTTTTATATGCAAATATTGCTTATATTGTACATAGTTCAGGCATTGAATATAGACATTTTTGTATCATATTCTATCTCTCTAAAAAATTATATTTTCTTTATTCATCTGTCAACAGACACTTGAGTTGTTTCCCTACATTGGTTATTGTGAATATGCTGCAATGAACAAGTGAGTACAGATATCTCTTCAAGGTAATAATTTTGTTTTCTTTGGATATATACCCAGAAGTGAGATTGCTGGATCATATGGTAGTTCCATTTTTAGTTTCTCAAGGAACCTCCATATTGTTTTCCATTGTGACTGAAATAATTTACATTTCTACCAACATTGTGCAAGCATTCCAACATGGGGTAATTTGAGCATCAGAAAAAGGGGATCAAAATACATATATGCTAAAATATATAGGTTCACAATGAAAATCCCCCCAAAAAATTCTTTGGTCATTTTTGGAGGATGCTAGAGAACCAACTCATTATTATGTGCAGAAAACTGGTAAGTAAAGGGAAAGAATAAAGCATATATCTTGCCTTTCCTTTAAAACTGTGCCTCAAGATAGCCAAATAGTTAATGAGGAATGTTCTCCTTTACTGGAGAATTTCAGCTAATAAATGTAGAGGAAATAATAGAATCAGACTCTCACTTGGAGCCTGCAATAAAACAATGATTCTAGGCAATGGTTGCTAAAACCAGTGACTGAAGGGCTAATGGAGAATTCAGAATGGACAATGTGGCTGACAAAATCTGACCTCACTGATCAATCTTAACACCACAAAAGAGATTCAGCCAGATGTTGTGATGGAACAGGAAAGAAACAGAAGATTCTTACCTGAATGAAATCAAACCACTAAACCAAACAACCAGTATAGAGGAAAAAAAGAGTTAGGAAAATAAATAAATATGTAGGTTAAAAGCAGGTATTTTGGTTTAAATGAACACTAGAGCATAAATCAGAAAAACTAAACTTTGGTTCAGGATTTCAACATGAACTAGATGTGTAATGTTGGACAAGTTATTTAATATCTCTGGGCTTCTGTATCATCTGTAAATCATTGTGTATACTTTGTTAAATACATTAATTATCTTCTTATAAGAAATCATCATTCTTCCAAATCATTTGATTTTATGGTTTTTTTCCTTTTGGAATATCAGTAAATTTTACAGAAATATAAAATTGCAGAATCAGTGGATAATTAGAATAAGTATTGGAAAAAAAGTTTTTTCTTTCTTTCTGAAATTTTTACTAAACACCCTCAAACTGTATTACTAAGCTTTAAAGAAGTATATGAACTCAGTGAACTTAATTTTTTTACATGGAGAACTTCCTTCTTTTTTAGACTACATAGATATGCATGTTTTCACTAGCATTTGGAATTTCTTTTACTTTCTATATATGACATTAAATTGTTATAACTTAGAATATTAACTTAAATATAACTTAGAAATACAAGAAAAAAGAACAATATGGAGAAAATAAAAAGTAACAAATTAATATTATTTTTTCAAAATAATTGCAGTGTTTCTATGCAATAATAGAAAAAGCAGAAATTTCTTAATGACATAGATATGTGTCTATTTAAATGCTGACAAATGAATTTGGGGATTGAAAATTATATTTTGCTTCCTTTAATCTTCCATCCCCCACTTCATATAAATAGCTTTTGATTTCTCTCTCTCTCTCTCTCTTTTTTTTTTTTTTTTAGTGTGCTTTTTTATGTACCTTACCCTCATAGTTTAAACTACTACTGAATGTTCATGGAATTAAGCCATTGGAGTCATTTGGCTTTAGCTTCCTCATTAGATTCTTCAATGTCCCTGGCTTCAGTCTTTGCATATAAACACATTTGTTATTCTTAATCACTTCCTTTTATCAATCCCTTACTAGAGCATACTGCTTAATCTTTGAAAATCCACATTTGTATTTTACAAAAATGGAAAATTCAGACTTCTGCTGTGTGTGACACACCATTAACAGCACAAAGACACTCTGTATCTGCTATGTTAGTATTTACTGATGTGTTAATGTAATAATGACCCATCTGCTTCTGCTGTCTGTGAGGTACTTTCTATCTATAGGGATGGAAATTAATGACAGTCTCTCTGAGATGCCTGATGTCAGAGCTGGGAAAGGTGTGAAGCATATATAAGAGCTGGATTACTCATTGGCAAGTGGGGGACCAATACTCTAGTGGATGCAAGCTTGCGATTGTTCATGAAGCTTTCTTACCATTAGAGACATTCTCTGATTTTGCTGACACTGAAACATTAAAAGGTAAAGAGTTTCCTGTTTATGGGAAAATATTATTTGTTTAGGGAAGAGCAGATTTGGGATTAAACATATAGCTTATTTCAAAGAAAGGCTAAAGGGATAAAATGGTATAATAACAACTTTCCAGACTGTTTAGAGAAGGAAATTGGGAAAGTGAAAATTTTAAAATATTTGAAAATTGTTTGAGCAGTATCAAGGGACTATATCAATAAAATTACTATCTTTGGAGATGATGTTTAAAAAGAGATTTTTTTACAGTAGGTTCTAGTCTCAAATTCCATCAATCGGAGCTATAAAAAATTTCTTGATTTCAATGCTGAATTATTCTTTTCAGAAAATTTGAGAAGCAATGTGCCTCCTGAAGCTGCCGGTAGTTCTCATTGTAATCTCAGTTGCATTAAACCATATGAAAGCTACTCCTATTAAAAGGTTAGTATCTTAAAAATCTTGTTTTCTTTTGTAAAATGTGGGAAAATTAGAATTAAAAACTGCTGTATAATTAACAGCCCTTATGCCAATAGATGGATCTTTTTTTTTTTTTAAGATTTTATTTATTTATTTGAGACAGAGAGAATGAGATACAGAGAGCATGAGAGGGAGGAGGGTCAGAGGGAGAAGCAGACTCCCCGCTGAGCAGGGAGCCCAATGCGGGACTTGATCCCGAGACTCCAGGATCATGACCTGAGCCGAAGGCAGTCGCTTAACCAACTGAGCCACCCAGGCGCCCCTAGATGGATCTTTCTGACAGAATTTCTGACAGACAGGAATGGATATAGTTCCAGTTTTGTCAAGAAATATGCTCTTGGAACCTAGAGGGGCAAAACCAGAATACAAAGCAGGAAAAGCCAAAGGGTAGTAATTTCCACTATATTAACCTGATTCTCAAATAAACTAGAGAAACTTAAAACATATATTCTATATCAGGTGGGATTTTATTGTATATTTATATACATTGTCTTAGGAGGGCTCTGGCAATATCCAAAACTATTACATCTCCTTCTGGAAATTGAAATACACAGAAATAATCAGGGAGCAAATTAAAATTTTTAAGAACTAGTTTAAAAGCCATTTGCTCCTAGGGGATTCTTTCTATATTGTTAACTGTTCTATTAATGAAATAGAATTATTAAAAAATATGTTCTTCATGAAATTACTTCTGAGCTGATCTAAATGTAATTTAATACTTCTTAAAAATGTTTTCAATAGGTAGCATGTGCATCAGAATTTCCTAAGAAGGCTTATTTCAAAACGTGTCATGTCATTTAAGTGAATTTTTTAAGGAAGTCTAAAAACTTGTCAGGCGAAAATGTTAGCAGTAATTACAACTTTCAAGGGGAAAGAACTGTAATTCTCCATTTATTTAAAAGATTCTCAAGTCCAAATTCATCATATGTCGTAAACAATATAATTGAGGATTTGTTTGTGCCTAAATCAGTTTGACTCCTTATAGTCTTGTAGGACTGAACTTACACGCTGTTTAAGACTGAGTAGTATTAAGGTTACTTTTGAAAAGAGTTTGCTTTGGGGCGCCTGGGTGGCTCAGTCATTAAGTGTCTGCCTTTGGCTCAGGTCATGATCCCAGGGTCCTGGGATCGAGCCCCTCATCGGGCTCCCTGCTCAGTGGGAAGCCTGCTTCTCCCTCTCCCACTCCCCTGCTTGTGTTCCTGCTCTCGCTATCTCTCTCTGTCAAATAAATAAAATAATTAAAAAAAAAAAAAACAAGAAAAGAAAAGAGTTTGCTTCAGGTCACATTAAAACTTTTCTTGTAGAATTATTAGTGTCTTGTCTATTTTCCTTTGAGGTGTTTTTTTGTTGAGGTGGAAGTCTGTGGTGATATGTAAAGGGTTCTACAGCACCCACGTGTAATAAATAACAGGAATCCTCAGATTTCTTTTGTCCTTTCAGGCTTATTGAATTTACAGGATGTTCTTCTCAGAATTAACTCTAATTTTCAATTGGATTTTTGTGGGTAAAAATAAGTGAAACTGACATGAGGTTTCTGATAAACCAGCAGAATAATAGAATAACAGGAAAATAGCAGTATTACCTAGTATTTCTGTCTATATCTTGCTTTTTTTTTCTTTCATTAGATATAGACATTTGATAAGCACATTTATCCAGTATGTCTTTATGGATATGAGTTTATTATGAGGTGAACTTCACTCATAAATAAAATAGTATATAACATTATTTATTTTCAAGTTATTTTCATGTTAGTCTCACAATCTCTTAATTTGAATCTTTATTAGAAATAACTTCCAAAGCATTCTTCAGATTACTCTTTAATGAATTTCCAGAAACCAGTACGTCTGATCATTTTTTTTAAAGGGGGAGAATTTATCATCCTGAGCTGTTCAACCATGGAATATTCTATACATCTCATAAAAAGCTGTGAAAGCTTATGTAGAAAATGACTCAAATCTCACACACTTTTAAAAGACAAAGCTGATATAGATTTATCAATGTCATTTTTCTTATAAAATTTAATCACCTCGTTTGAGATCTTTTTTAACTTCTATGTCTGTATGAGATGAGATTAAGAGGCAACAAAATGACTTTACAAACCATCCCCAAAAATATTTTATACTCTTGACTGAGGCAAAAGGATTACACACCTGCCCACCAACTTTTAAACCCTCAGTAAATTTCTGCCCAGCAGATAATCAGAGGTTAACCAATAGTATAATTACTTCCACAAATGAATATTGAGAACTGGAGCAGGGATACAGTTTAAAACTGTTTTTAAAAATCTTTGAGGGGCACCCGGGTGGCACAGTCAGTTCTTCCGCTCAGGTCGTGGTCTCAGAGTCATGAGATCAAGCCCCTCAACAGGCTTGGTCCTCAGCACAGAGTCTGCTTGAGATTCTCTCTTCCTCTCCCTCTGCCTCTCTCGCTCTTGCTCTCTCTCTGTCTAAAATAAATCTTTAAAAGCCCTTGAAACTGAGATGTTTTTAAAGAGAGATAATATAAGAGTGATTCTTCAGTCTATAGTCATCACTGTTTAAACTCTTAAAGTTAGGAATTTGTGCATGTGTGTAGGTGGTCAATGGATTTGAACTAGCGTCTGTCACTAGATGCTAGGCAGGGCTTGTCTGCCCAAGTAGTTAAAGAGAAAGAAAAAATGCCTGAAAGTAGGGGTGTGATGCCTTTTACTAACCATTTCAGCCATCTTTTTCTATCTTAATGATAGTTTGGGAAAGAATCTTGTACATACTGACGTTATATTTACAAGAAAAGTCTTATTTGGGAAAGCAGTTTCATAATAATGAAACAAATCAACATAGAAGCTCTTAATATTTCTTATAAGTGGAATGATGGCTCTTCTAGCTAACTCAAATAAGATATCATTTTAGTTGGAATAATTTTAAGTATTGTTACAGACCTTGAGAACAATTATCAAAGTACTACTCAGACATTTAACACATAGATTAGTTCACACTCTGCTCCAGGCATTTGCAAAATATATCTTGGGACAGATATCACTTCGAACCTTCCCAATTTGGCCCATTATTTCCTTTATTGCTTTAAACTTATTATTTTGAAGTGTTTGGGTCAAATTCTAATTTCTGCTTTTTTCAAGAAAAGCTTATTCTCTTTTAGAATTAAATGATTTATGAATTATTGGTTTAATTCTTAAAAAGCATTAAGTCATGCTTTGGAAATGTACATTGGCCATGCTTACTACACATGCAAAGAGAAATAATTAAATAAATAATATGACTAATATTGACATATTAGACCAGGTAATTAGGTCCCAAAGTGGGTTTCCTTTGCCTGAATAATAGGTTTGTCAGCATACACTTCTATCCAACAATACCAAGTTTACCTGATGCCATAAGAATTTTCTATATTTGGAAGAATATATGAGTGTAAAAACCCTAAAGATTTACATGAGATTTAAAAACACTTACTCTTAGGCTATCCCTATAGAGAGATATAGACAATGAAGTATTCCCCATACAAAGCAAACACATTGAGATCAAATCTATTGCATTTTGCCCCAAATTATGTATAACAACTTGCTTCTGAACATAGCTTCATATCTATATCTCTTTCCCAATTTACACTTATCCTAAGTTTTACTAATATTTCGATTTCCATGGAGCTGAAAGCTAAAACATTTCCCTAGTTTTCCTAATCATCTGCAAAAAAGGGAAGCATGTTAGTATTCTGTATCCATTTCTTTTCTTTTTTTTTTTTTAAAGATTTTATTTATTTGAGAGAGAGAGAGAGAGCATGAGGGGGGGGAGGGTCAGAGGGAGAAGCAGACTCCCTGCCGAGCAGGGAGCCCGATGTGGGACTCAATCCCGGGACTCCAGGATCATGACCTGAGCCGAAGGCAGTCGCTTAACCGACTGAGCCACCCAGGCGCCCCTGTATCCATTTCTAATACCATTTTGAGAGCACACTGGAACAAAGGGTGGCACAAAAATATAGAGTTGACATAAATTCTGAAATATAGAATTTATATATATATATATATAGCTTATATAGAGAGAGAAACAAGAGTTAGCATTCAAACGAATTACTTAAACATAGTGGTAATTTCTGACTTACCTGGAATATTATTATGCAATTGTTCCAGATTGCTGAAAGAATGCGGTGAATAGTAATACTATTAACATAAAAGTCTTTGGGTTTTAACATTCAACATAGTCCTATCATTCAAATTGTTAAAAAGAACCAAACGGGCAGAAGAAAGATAGTAATGCTCATGTATTTATGCTAAGAGTAATAGAACTCCCAATCTACAACAGTGAAAGTGCGTGAACCAGTGATAAATTTGATTCCCCTTGAGCATTAGTAGTACCTGGCGTTTCTCTCTTAACACCCCTGATTTAATGATCTCAGGGAACTTAACAAAAATATCTTATACTGCTTAATTTTCATTGGAAAGTTGTGGGAAATAAATATATATATATTTAATTCCACATATTCCAGATTACATATAAATTTTATATTCTAAATCCTCTTTATATATTGGGAACTAGATTTATCAAGATTTAGAAGAATAGAAGAAGATTTCAAAGAATGTAAGACAAAGACACGCTTTTTTATTATTATTACTATCTGGAATAAATGCTGAAGTTTCCAAGGATCATAATGAGAAATTCAACATTGACTATAATGGATGTTTTGTTATATGATGTCCCAGACAAAAATTGCTTCTGCTGCATCTTCAAGGTGTCAAAAAATCTTGGTCATCCAGACGTTTCCAAACCAAAACGTTGAGTTACTTACTTGAAATGTTTCCTTTAGTTTTCAATATAGGATATCTGTTGTCCTATAGAAGTATGGGTTAGCCTGGTGATGGGTATTAAAGAGGGCAGGTATTGAATGGAGCGCTGGGTGTTACACGCAAACAATGAATCATGGAACGCTATATCAAAAACTAATGATGTAAGGTATGGTGATTAACATAACATAATAAAAATTTAAAAAAAAAAAAGGAGTATCCAATCCTGAGTTTAAGGCTCTAACTTCCCTATTTGTTCCATGTCACCAGTCACCAGATGGAAAAGCGGAAATGCAACACTGCCACATGTGCAACTCAACGCTTGGCAAATTTCTTAGTTCGTTCCAGCAACAATCTTGGTGCCATTCTCTCGCCTACCAATGTGGGATCCGATACATATGGCAAGAGGAGCACAGCTGAGATTTTAAAGAGGGGACCATTGAATTACTTACCCCTTTAGAGGTCAATGTATCTCTACAGTTCTTATTGTTTCATGTATAAATATCCTAGTGACTTCCCGTGTAATTTAACATTAGCATGAATATGAGTTTTTATGTCCCATGTTTATTGCCAGTACATATAAATTGTCATGGTAAGAATTGTCTTAAATTTAATGCTAATTAAGATCCCATAATAAAAAAGTCAATGTCTTTAAAATGAAGGGTTCTTGCTATCAATTTTTATTTTAAAAACATATTAAAAAGTCATTCTTTTGCCTGTATCTTTATGACCTGAGTTTGAGAACAAAGGAGAAAATGCTGGGCGCCTGGGTGGCTCAATTATTAAGCGTCTGCCTTCGGCTCAGGTCATGATCCCAGGGTCCTGGGATCAAGCCCCACCTCGGGCTCCCTGCTCGGCGGGAAGCCTGCTTCTCCCTCTCCCGCTCCCCCTGTTTGTGTTCCCTCTCTCGCGGTGTCTCTCTGTCAAATAAATAAATAAAATCTTTAAAAAAAAAAAAGAGAAAATGGTATTTGGAAACTTAGTAAATTGTAAATAGCTGAGAGTAAAGTTAAGAACATTAAAAAACAGCAATTATAAGGACCCTGTTAAACAATTCCTTTTTTTAAATTTTATTATGTAATGTTAATCACCATACATTACATCATTAGTTTTTGATGTAGTGTTCCATGATTCATTGTTTGTGTATAACACCCAGTGCTCCATTCAGTATGTGCCCTCTTTAATACCCATCACCAGGCTAACCCATCCCCCCACCCCCCTCACCTCTAGAAGCTTCAGTTTGTTTCTCAGAGTCCATAGTCTCTCATGGTTCGTCTCCCCCTCTGATTTCCCCCCCTTCATTTTTCCCTTCCTGCTACCTTCTTTTTTTTTCCTTTAACATATAATGTATTATTTATTTCCGAGGTACAGGTCTATGATTCATCAGTCCCACACAATTCACAGTGCTCACCATAGCACATACCCTCCCCAATGTCTATCACCCAGCCACCCCATCCCTCCCACGCCCCACCACTCCAGCAACCCTCAGTTTCTTTCCTGAGATTAAGAATTCCTCATATCAGTGAGATCATATGATACTTGTCTTTCTCTGATTGACTTATTTCGCTCAGCATAATACCCTCCAGTTCCATCCACGTCGTTGCAAATGGCCAGATCTCATTCCTTTTGATGGCTGCATAATACTCCTTTGTGTATATATACCACATCTTCTTTATCCATTCATCTGTCAATGGACATCTTGGCTCTTTCCATAGTTTGGCTATTGTGGACATTGCTGCTATAAACATCGGGGTGCATGTACCCCTTCAGATCCCTACATTTGTATCTTTGGGGTAAATACCCAGTAGTGCAATTGCTGGGTTGTATGGCAGCTCTATTTTCAACTTTTTGAGGAACCTCCATACTGTTTTCCAGAGTGGCTGCACCAGCTTGCATTCCCACCAACACTGTAGGAGGGTTCCCCTTTCTCTGCATCCCCGCCAACATCTGTCATTTCCTGACTTGTTAATTTTAGCCATTCTGACTGGTGTGAGGTGGTATCTCATTGAGGTTTTGATTTGGATTTCCCTGATGCCGAGCGATGCTGAGCACTTTTTCATGTGTCTTTGGCCATTTGGATGTCTTCTTTGGAAAAATGTCTGTTCATGTCTTCTGCCCATTTCTTGATTGGATCATTTGTTCGTTGGTTGTTGAGTTTGGTAAGTTCTTTATAGATTTTGGATACTAGCCCTTTATCTGATATGTCATTTGCAAATATCTTCTCCCATTCTGTCGGTTGTCTTTTGGTTTTGTTGATTGTTTCTTTTGCTGTGCAAAAGCTTTTTATCCTAATGAAGTTCCAATAGTTCATTTTTGCCCTTGCTTCCCTTGCCTTTGGTGATGTTTCTAGGAAGAAGTTCCTGAGGCTGAGGTCAAAGAGGTTGCTGCCTGTGTTCTCCTTTAGGATTTTGATGGACTCCTGTCTCACATTTAGGTCTTTCATCCATCTTGAGTTATTTTTGTGTGTGGTTTAAGGAAATGGTCCAGTTTCATTCTCCTGCATGTGGCTGTCCAATTTTCCCAACACCATTTGTTGAAGAGACTGTCTTTTTTCCATTAGACATTCTTTCTTGCTTTGTCAAAGATTAGTTGACCCTACAGTTGAGAGTCCATTTCTGGGCTCTCTATTCTGTTCCATTGATCTATGTGTCTGTTTTTGTGCCAGTACCATACTGTCTTGATGATGACAGCTTTGTAATAGAGCTGGAAGTCCGGAATTGTGATGCCACTAGCTTTGCTTTTCTTTTTCAACATTCCTCTGGTTATTTGGGGTCTTTTTTGGTTCCATACAAATTTTAGGATTATTTGTTTCATTTCCTTGAAAAAAGTGGATGGTATTTTGATAGGGATTGCATTAAATGTGTAGGTTGCTCTAGGTAACATTGACATCTTCACAATATTTGTTCTTCCAATCCATGAGCATGGAACATTTTTCCACTTCTTTGTGTCTTCCTCAATTTCTTTCATGAGTATTTTATAGTTTTCTGAGTACAGATTCTTTGCCTCTTTGGTTAGATTTATGCCTAGGTATCTTATGGTTTTGGGTGCAATTGTAAATGGGATCGATGAAATAGAAACCAAAAGAACAGTAGAACAGATCAACGAAACTAGGAGCTGGTTCTCTCAAAGAATTAATAAGATGGATAAACCCCTGGCCAGACTTATCAAAAAGAAAAGAGAAATGACCCAAATAAATAAAATCATGAATGAAAGAGGAGAGATCACAACCAACACCAAAGAAATACAAACAATTATAAGAACATATTATGAGCAACTGTATGCCAGCAAATCAGATAATCTGGAAGAAATCGATGCATTCCTAGAGATGTATAAACTACCAAAACTGAACCAGGAAGAAATAAAAAACCTGAATAGACCTATAACCACTAAGGAAATTGAAGCATTCATCAAAAATCTCCCAACAAACAAGAGCTGAGGGACAGATGGCTTCCCAGGGGAATTCTACCAAACATTTAAAGAAGAATTAATACCTATTCTTCTGAAACTGTTCCAAAAAATAGAAATGGAAGGTAAACTTCCAAACTTGTTTTATGAGGCCACCATTACCTTGATCCCCAAACCAAAGACCCCATCAAAAAGAATTACAGACCAATATCCTTGATGAATATGGATGCAAAAATTCTCACCAAAATACTAGCCAATGGGATCCAACAGTACATTAAAAGCATTAATCACCACGACCAAGTGGGATTTATCCCTGGGCTGCAAGGTTGGTTCAACATCCGCAAATCAATCAATACATTAATTAAAGAAAGAACAAGAACCATATGATCCTCTCAATAGAAGCAGAAAAAGCATTTGACAAAGTATAGCATCCTTTCTTGATCAAAACTCTTCAGAGTATAGGGATAGAGGGCACATACCTCAATATCATAAAAGCCATCTATGAAAAACCCACAGCGAATATCATTCTCAATGGGGAAAAACTGAGAGCTTTCCCCCTAAGGTCAGGAACATGGCAGGGATGTCCACTATCACCACTGCTATTCAACATAGTATTAGAAGTTCTAGCCACAGCAATCAGACAACAAAAAGAAATAAAAGGCATCCGAATTGGCAAGGAAGAAGTCAAACTCTCACTCTTTGCAGATGATATGATACTTTATGTGGAAAACCTAAAAGACTCCACCCTAAAACCGCTAGAACTCATACAGGAATTCAGTAAAGTGGCAGGACATAAAATCAATGCACAGAAATCAGTGGCATACCTATACACCAACAACAAGACAGAAGAAAGAGAAAGCAATTCCTTTTTGCATTAGATTTCTGAAATGAGATAAAATGCTATTTAAAAAAATTAATTTTTGCTCTTGACTCAGTCAAAATATTTTTTGAAATTATATTCTTTTTTGTACTAGAGGTTATTTAAAAAGTAAAAGCAATTTGTGTTTATGAGGGTTCCATTGTGTGTTATCATTGATGAGCTTTTATTAAACATATATGTCCTTTATTCTGTTCAAATGGCTTTCAGCAAATTTCAGTCATATTTTGATGCAGGGTATTGCAAAAGCAACTTGTGTTCCTATTAATCATGTATGTCCTCAATTAAAAGACCATAGACTTCTGGAAACTATATGTTGTATGGTAACTGATTTTGTTTGTTAAACTAATTGGACATTTCTGGCAGAGGTTACATGTGTATGATACACTTTTCTTGAAGGAAGCTGTTGAATTGGACATGAAATATAATGTTTCCCTCTAAGTCTGATTCTTACAGGGGTATCTGCTGTCCCCTGACCATGAGTTAGTTACTTTTGGAAGTAGCATTAACTCAGATAAGCTGCTATTGTGTTGTATTATGCCATTTCTAGAGGCGCTAAAGTTGTATTAAAAAAAAAAAACAGGGCGCCTGGGTGGCTCAGTTGGTTAAGCGACTGCCTTCGGGTCAGGTCATGATCCTGGAGTCCTGGGATCGAGTCCCGCATCGGGCTCCCTGCTCAGCGGGGAGTCTGCTTCTCCATCTGACCCTCCCCCCCTCTCATGTGCTCTCTCTCTCTCAAATAAATAAATAAAATCTTTAAAAAAAAAAACAGAAAAAAGAAGTATCTCAATCTTAGTGGGAATCTGACTCATTGACTTGATTTATACATTATGAAGTGTGCCCTAGATTACCATATTATAGTTGTGTGTGTGTATGAGTGTATCGAAACAGGATATGATATTTATAATGATTTTATGTCATAAGTTGCATGCTGAAATAAATAAATGAATATATAAATTCCTATTTGTGATAACCAGTTGTCAGTCCTTCTTTCAAAGTGGATTTGAGCTCAACATTTTAAACTGAGTGTGATTAAGTTACAATTTCTTAAACTTACTTATTTAAATTTTTCCTATAATAGTCTACTTTAAATAAAATTCCATTACATATCACCTCTATATCAACTTCTCAATCTATTTTTCAAGAGTTATAAAAATTTTAATGAGTGCATATGGCATTCAAGGACAGTGTATTTTGTAGCAAACAATTATCAGGAATAAGACAAGAAGTATGTGTAGTTATAGTAACCTAACAACCTCTGGTGCTAAGGAGTGAAATGTAGTTAGGGTGGCTATGTAACTTAGTCCAGCTGGGAGATTTTGAAGAAAAGAGGTTATTATATTGATATGAGAGATATTAACAGTAGATGTTCTAAAACTTAGTCATTAAATTTATTATCAAAGTGAAACATTTGAACAAATTCAGTATCATTTTCTTAGTTGGTAGGCCAGGAGGAATCTAAATATATAAAAGTTGGGAATGCCTTATTGCATGAGGCTTACCAAATACTTTCCCTGTTTTTTTATAATTACCTTGTGAAAATAATGAGTAAAACTCAACTGATGTAATTGGAAATGTCAACAGTGTTTTGGT